GGGGCCATCCTAATCTCAGGAGGGAGGATGTTCCAGAGGGCAGGCACCACAGCAGAAAAGGTACGTCTCCTGGTCCCTGCCAGCTGACATTCGTTGGCTGGTGGGACCCGGAGCATGCCCATCCTGCCGGACTGGATTAGACGGGTAGAAATAACTGGGAAAAGACGGTCCCTAAGGTAACCCAGTCCCAAGCCATGAAGGGCTTTAAAGGTGACAACCAGCATCTTGAATTGCACCCGGAAACACACTGGCAACCGATGCAGCTCCTGAAGCAGTGGTGTTACATGTGCCAAGTAGCCGACACTATTTACGTCCTGGGCAGCTGCATTCTGTACCAGCTGAAGCTTCCAAATGCTCTTCAAGGGCATCCCCATGTAGAGGTTGTTCCAACAGTCCAAATGGGAGGTCACGAGGGCGTGAGTGACAGTGAGCAGAGCCTCCCGGTCCAGGAATTGGGTGCAAGTGGCACACAACCCCAAGATATGCAAAGGCCCTCTTAGCCACGGCTGCCACCTGCTTTTCTAGCAGGAGCTGTGAGTCCAAGAGGACCCCCAGATTGTGCACCGGGTCCGTCTGGGGCAGTGCCACCCCATCCAGAACCAAAGATGGAAAAACCTTGGTACTGGGAGGCCCACACACCCAAAGCCAATCAGTCCTGCTTGGGTTGAGCCAGAGCCCATTGCACCCCATCCAGTTAGTTGAATATGCCCAAGCTTTAGAATGTAATGTCCAAAGGGCTTTACAGTCATGCATACCTAGGGATTGTTGATGTAAGGGAAATTCACATGGCCTTGCCCTTACCACATTTTAACTCTTACAAAGATAATAAACTGATGCATGCTAGGCAATTGGCATGTCAAGTACTTTAGACCCATGCTTTGGTTCCCTGAGGTGCTTTTACCTAGGGCTGAGATATATTGGAAGGTGCCCTGAATAGGACCTGGAAGGACATGAATTGGGGTTGGCAGTATTGGGTTGGACAGTGTGATTACCACAAGGAGATTGCTGCTGCCCTCACAGAGTCTTGTGGGACCGTCTTCCAGACTGAAGCTGGACACCACTCCTCTGGCTCTCTCCCTTGGACTCAGGATCAAGCACCCTGACTTTCTAGCCAGTTACATCTGGTTTTCCTATCAAGAAAGGGTGGAGCGGGGTGACAGGGTATGTTAGAGAGCTTTTGTAGTGGCCTGACCTCCCTTCTTGGACTATCAAGTGCCTAGGGCAGATACAGGCTGAGGTAGGGTTGTTGAGTGCCTGTGAGGACCTGGCATGAGTGTGAGTGTGTAGATTTGGGGTAAGTGGGGCAAATGGACGCTTTGGCCTGGGAAAGGAGAATGAGGGGTTGGAGAGACTTGGGGGGCAGGCTGGAACTTCAGGACTGTGAAGGGCTTCAGCTTCAGAGGATTGTGGAGGAAGAAGATTATTTGGACCCATTTCAGGTTGGGGATTAGTACAGATATGGATAGGTAGTGCTTGTTGATTACCTGAAGTGGAGCTGAGGTGGGGGTAATCTCATGCTCCTTGATTTCTCAGAAGCTTTTGGTATTCTTCTGGATCAACTTTGGGAGTTGGGGATGGTAGGCACTATTTTACATTGGTTCTCCTCCTTTCTCTGTGACTGGTTTCAATTGGTTTTGACAGCTGGGGAGAGATCTCACCCACAGCCCTTCAGTTATGGTGTACCACAGGGTTTGATGCTCTCTCCCCTTCTGTTTAATATCTACATGAAACTGCTGGATAGGTCATTTACTGCTTTGGGGTCAGGTATCATCAATATGCGTCAACATATTGGCCTCATAGTGTTTATGCTCTGGGATCTAACAGAGTTACATTTTCTCTTGGATGCTTTTTAAATATCTACTTGACCAGTAAATCCATTTGAAATATATAGTAAGATCCCATCAGTTTTACACTGATTTTTTACTGGTATCAAGGAAACTGGGGGAGTTGCAAAACAGGTTTGTTTGAAGCTTTGAATGTAACTTTGTAAAGGTGGGCGTAAGTGTTCTTTCAAGTCTACTTTGGTACCTTTCTCAATTGGAACTGTTGAGGTGGGGCACCTTGGTTTTTTTTTTTTTAGTTAAAGCACTCATAGTAGATCATTCCTGGCTTCATGTTACTGCTTTAAACAGCAGTCACTGATTTTAAAGTTACTAATTTATACATTAAGTTTTTTCTATAAAACTGGTAGTGATATTTTAATATTACAATAATATTATTGGTTTGTAATAATTTTCAGAGACAGCCAAAGTATTTCTTTTTCATATTCTCTGCATTAAGATACATTTTTCCAAATACATGTTTAGATGGGCTTAAAGATGTCTTTTGAAATGTATACAAGTGTTGTTTTTAATATTTAATATTCATGTTAAGGAAATATAGAAATCAAAATATTGGTAGTGTAGTAAGGATACTTTAAATAATATTTAAAGGTTGGTTAGGGATTAAAGTTACAGCTTATATATTTCAGTATCTTTTAAGTGAAACAGGATGTAGTGACTGTACTGTCAGGCTGCTGGTGTGAGAGCAAACAGATGAGGAAGTACAAGGGCAGACACTACAGTACTTGTTGTCGTGGAAACTCTTTGCGTCATTCTACCCAGCAATTACCTTATAATGTCTTTATTTTTTACAGTGGAATCAGTTGAACTTGACTGTAACAAAGGAAATTCAGATTTCAGATGTCACAATTACAATCTCATTTTGAAGACATGGCTTCATTGGAATTGCTTAGAAAATAAATATTTAGGAACATGTTGCAATTTAAACTGCATCTGTAGTGAAAATCATCTTGATTTTGAGTGAATACCGGTTTATTAACTATAGGTAGTCCTCATTTAGTGACTGCCTTGGACAGTAATCGTTTGAAGTTATGACAGTGATGAAAAAGCAACTTTGCAACCTTTGCAGGTCTGAAGTAAGATCATAAGCACAGTCACAGTTTCACTTAGTGACCACTTTGCTTAACAAACCTTGTTGCTGCTCCCAATTGTGGTTGCTAAATGAGGACTACCTGTAAAAGGAAATTGAGTCAAATCTGTTAATTTTGTGAAGTTCACTTTACGGTGAAATGTAAGGAAAATATTGTATGTTAACTTTTGCTACAATTCAAATAGTCTACGGCCATTTGTGAATGTTTTAGATGGAATGTGAGTTATATCCTTCCATCTCTATTGCTGTTTTGCTTTATTTATGCTTGTCATTCCACATATTCTTTGTTTCTTCAGTCATCTCTATAATTTCCTATTAACTGTTTCTCATTATTTCTTTTTGCTACTCTCCTATTTCTTTTAAGTTCCCTCCCAGAAATTATAATTTTATTGGTATGTGTAGAAAGTCTGCTTGAAATTAAATCTCTTTCCTCCCACAGAAATGCAAAAGAGGGGTTTTGACATTGCTGAAAGCATATTTGGGAACATATTCTTTACTGCCATAAAATGTATGAAGGAGTGTCTAAGGGTTACATGTCTCTGTCTGGATATAACACACTACATGTGTTAATTAATCCAGGATACTTTACTTGAGTGTATTTTTAATACAATTATTTATATCCCAGTTTTCAGGATAACAGTCCTTCCATAATGGCTTATAAGCAGTGGAAATGATTGCTTAAACAATACAGTAAATGTTCTTTAAAAATAAACTTCAAGGATCTTTCCTACAAGGTAGTGTGTTAGTCTGGGCTAAGGAAAAATGTATGCCACTGAGAGGCCCTCCCACTTACCCCCTCTCTTTAGAGATCTTCCTAACGGTAATGGTTCACAAGACCACCTACCAGCCTGTTTTTAAATACTGTATGACATTTTAATTTTCACTTTAAGTTACTGGCTTCTACAATTATTACTGGGCAAGACAGTTTTAAGTATCATCAGCTCAATGTTGTGGAAACTTATCAGATTTTCAAATGTAGAGGAAATAAAACACATTTGATTTCTTTCTGCATTGAGTGACAAATAGTTAATGGGATTTTTGCACATAATTTCTGGATTTAAGCAATGTAATCTCTTAAAGAGCAATTTAGGGCATGTGTTTTAACATTTGTAATAGAAGTTATATACAACAATGGCTAAATAGAATCTCCAGCTTTAGGGACAGTGTCTCCCTGAATATCAGTTGCAGGAAGATGTAGGCATTGGAAAGACTTCTTGGAAATAAATGGAATCTTTCAAGTGGAATCATCCCATCTGATAAATTCCTCACAAGAGAAGTTACTAATAATCCTCATTTTGGGGAGGCAGTGTTTGTCCCTGATCAACTGAGTAGTTCTACCTCCCCCAAGACTAGGTTGGCATCTACGCAGTTGGTTTTCTAAGAACTAGTAAATATGGAATTGTTCCTGAGATCTTTCAGGGAATAAGGGAAGAAATTGCTCTTGGCTTGGGGGATTAAATTATTGTGGTATTATATTATCAGTTTATGCCATTTATTGCTGTATTCTATTATGTTTTTAATGTTTTATATTGTTACCCACTGGAAGTCTATTGTGTGATTACCAGTTTGATAAATTAGTTTATCAAGTCACATTTGATTTGGTTTATCAAATCATATTTGATAAACTAATTTGATTTACCAACTCAATAAATAATGATTTGAAGTGGAATACAGTAAATATTAATAATATTTAAACCAAAAATCTAAATTCTGTACAAATGGAGATCAAGTGGTATATTCAAACAAGAAATGCTTGGATAAAGAGAGAGTTCATCACCTGTATCCTTGAGTGAGAAGGGGTATTACTATAGTCAAGAACCACTTTTAGTGATTGTTGGATGAAAAATTGCAGGTCAAAATACAAAAAGCAAGTCTTCCTTTGATCTTTACAATCATATAGGTATATGTTGGAGGAGGCAATTTGCTACTTGATTCGATCTCAAATTACTTAGTGCTTTAAATGCCAATGACAAGACCTTGAGCCTGGCTTGGTAACTAATATGCAGTCAATGCAACTGCATCATCACTGGCATTCTATTTGGCATCCTCCCTACCAGATTCTACACCAACTGCAATTTCCAGACTATAGAAAGTAATCTAAATTTTAGGTTACCAATGCATGAACAAGTATTCACTTCCAAGAAAGGACATATTTGATATGCCAATAAATTTTTGTTCCTTAAGTTTTTAATTATTAAAATGAATCCCTTCTCCCTGCTAAAAATCTGTTCTTTTTGAGGATGAGTAATCTGGAAACATCCATAGAGTCTTTTTACTGTCAGGATTCAATCTGGTGATTGCCATGCAGCCTATCATTGAATCTAGATACGAACGTAAATGGCTCTTTATGATTCAGGTGTCGCCTGAAGATAGAGATGGATGCTTGTTGTATTATTGTTCATTAATTTGTGTTTTTCTTTTAGTTTTTATTAGATGGTTAAATTTTTGAACAATGATTTTGCAAAAATCCCTAGATTTTTTATAAGGATGCTAAATAACAACAAGAGCAGCATTTCTAATGATATCCCAACCTCAAACTCCACATCACTTCACTCAGTGGCTTCAGATAAATGTTAAATAGCTTTGGGGATGAAAGGTCATCTTAAGGTACTCCACAGCATAGTTGCTAGTCTGCAGACCTACAATTACCCAGTGCAACTTTTCTATCTGACACAGAGTCCACAACTCATTGACTGTTGAAATGGTCCAGAAGGGGTATTTTGATCAGTAGTTGCAGAAATTTTCAAAAAGGTATGGGGGATTTAGAATAAGTGTATTTCATATCAGTTTTAAAAATAGCTTCCTAATTTTCAGTCTGGGGTTGAGGAAAATACAAACGCCCTTTTTTTTTAAAGTTTTTTATTTTTTACAACAAACACAAACATACATAAACAAACAAGAACATAAAAAACATAAAAAC